ACAGCCAATCGGATTTGGCGACACAAGTTTGGGAACTTTTTCAGAGGAAGAATCCAGAAAGTGAGGAAGCGACAGAAACTCCTGATGTTTTCTTTATCTGCTGTTTGATTTGAGTTGTTGATGCACAGCCTGCAGAAACAAGAGGCAGGTCACAGGAGAGCAGCAGTTTGGGGCAGTTTATATTAGTATCGATAAATAAACATTATTTAAAACATCTGTCAGGCCCGGTTAAATATCCTCGGTGTGGTTCAGTAGCTTCACCAACCCAGGGCATTGAATATTTAATTATTGCACTAACTGAATAATGAAAAAGTCAATTTCCAGACCGACGCCCCGTATGCAGAAGACAATTGCATTTCTAATATCTGCATGTGAAATCTTCCTCGCACACCCTCCCCTTCCTCTTTCCCCGGCGTCCCGTCTCGATGCCTCGCAGGGGCCGCGGAGTCTCCCGCATTACCATAGCTCTCTTCCTGACTAAGTCTGCTCCTCATATTCACTTGTCGTGGCTAATTACGTGTTTAACCCTGTGCGGGTGCGCTTGTTTTACATTCAAATTTATGGGGACCTGGGTGATCTGAAGGAGCAGGAATGAGCAGGGACACGACGGCGGGGATCAGTCTTCTGGTAATTGATTATCCTCGTCGGAAAGGGGACAGCTTCCAGTGGAGGGGGGCCGGCCTTGAGTCATTAACCTTTGACCTGTGGCAGGGTTGGAAATATGAAAAGCAAAGGTTACAGGTTGATTATAAGAAGGAGGAGGTTCTTTTTCTTTGCAGAAATGCAGATTGACTGTAAATTGACATTTTACTTTGGGCCATGTTGTCTCTTTTATTATTATTATTAATTTTATTTGTTCTGTAATGTGATTAGCATTTTTATGACCCGCAAATGCAAATATTCCTGTTTTCATATTAACATGACGCCACAGCAATAATTTTCTGATCTTGTTGCTTGTGGAATAAATAATTATGCATATGTTGTCAATATTTACATTTCCACTGTTTAATTTAATTCTAATGGAAGTCCCTGGGCGATACGAGCTGCAGCTAATAGAAGAGAAAATGATTAAAGCTCTCCCCATAATAACTCGCTCGCTGCAACACAAGTTGCTGTAATCTAATGTAGCATTTCGGTGTTTATAGACCACGGCAACTTTGATCACTCCTGTCGCTGATTTAATTTCCTGATGTAATTTTCTCAAACCCTCTTTAAAGGGACATCTTCTCGGATCGCTTGTATTAGTTTGGGAGGGAAATAAAAAGGGATTTGTTTGTGTGTGTTCCTGCGTTGTAAATAAATAACCTCCTCGGGTGTTGGTGTGTGTTTTTTTTTTAATCATTACCACACTGCCTCGCCTCTGTACAGTGGTTCCATTGTGCTGTGAGCATCGTGTGTGTGTGTGTGTGTGTGTGTGTGTGTGTGTGTGTGTGTGTGTGTGTGTGTGTGTGTGTGTGTGTGTGTGTGTTTGGCATGCAGTACCAGGCCGGGTCAAAGCAGCTTAGTTCCGATCTGTTGGGTGACCTGCCCGAGCCTCGCTGGCCTCACTGACCCGCATGATTTCATTATAGAGAGGTGAGGTACACGGCCTCTGCACAACACTCATTCACACACACACACATGAAGGTATGTGCATAAATACAGTGGAGGCATATACACACACACTTGGGCGAACATATACATGAATATATGTCGAGGGAGCCGCTGACATTCTCTTGTTCTAGAAACATCCGCCCCTTATTTCCTGACAACATTTAAACGCCCGCCGTGCGACGAACAAACGAGTAGATTTCTGATGACAACATTTCCAAAATGTAAATGATGCATTCAAATTTGCATCGCTGGAAAAAAAAAACAAACAAATCACAAACAAGATTGTTTGCCTGACATATTTTTTTGGGGGAAAATAAGGCTGTGACGAAATCAAACATCAACAAAAACAAGCTCCAATATCTGCTCTGTTTAAATTAGAGTCTGTAAAAAGGCAGAAGAATGAAGCGCTCATCCTGAAGTCTTAAGTATATTTTTCAGATGTAAGACAGCATTAACAAACAAGCAGAACTAAACACTGCAAATACAGGTTTTAATTCTGACATACTGAACATTTTCACAGATAAAAACACAGAGGTGATAAAGGCCAAAATGTGGTCAGTCAAAAAAAAGTTTAAAAAGAAAAAAAATATTATTCCTGACATCTGGAGTCTCTTTGAAATACAGAAGGTAAATCTATGTGACACTGAAACAGGCCTCAGTTTGTTCTCCATTCAGAGTTTCATTAACAGAGAGCTCAAAACAAAGCTCACTCTCCTGATAGCTTCAACACACAATCAAGACATGGACGACGTGTTGCAACAGCACAATAACAACACAAAGTCTCCTCCTCTCAAAACTCTCAAAAATGATTTTTTTTTTTTTAAATCACACATTTTATTCTGGAGAGTCAAAACACCCGGAGACATTAACCAGGGACAAGTTGAGTGGTTTGTTCAGTCGTCCTAGTCCGAGGCAAAGATGCTCTGATACACTGTAAAAAAAAGAAAAACAAAGCTGGTGAGTTAGAACCACATTCAAAAAGCTGAAAATAAGGTTATATATGTATCTTTACTAGTTTGTAAATATACAGCAGCAGTGACCTGACACAGAATGAAAACAGGATGAAGCTTTAAGGTTATGATTTTGAAAACAGGAAAGTGATGATGATGACAAAAATAACACCAGTCTGCTCCAAAAAAAAGACTAAAACTCGTAGAAGTGTATTTTGATTTCTTGAATATTTTGCAGAAACAAGAAACTGAAATTATGACACAACACTGAAAAAACAAACACCCAGCATCCACTTCATTTAAAACTACACAACCAAAATCCAGAGAGAAACTTGTACGTTCTTATTTCATCTTCATTTCATTTTAAAGTGTTTTCAGTGAATCAAGTTGTATTCTGTGCAAATATTCTAGCCAAAGAAGGTTGACACATTTCTTAATTGGGAAACATTCGACAGAAGCATTTATGAAGACACCTTCTCCAACAAGAAAACATTTGCAAAGAGCAAAAAAAATTGCAAAGAGCAAAAAGCATTTCCTAAAAGTCGAATGTAGGTTGATGCTCAGTAACTAAGAGCAGTTTTAATAAGAGAATAAAAAACAGTATTGGGGCAATTCAAAAAGTGCATGAACAAAAAGCTCAAATAAGTTTGAAATAGAGAGCAGTGTTAGCATGTTAGCACCAAACACGAAGCAGGGAGAAGTTTAAAGCCTTCTTTAAAATGAGTGTTTAAAGAGTCAACATATCGATTCTTATCCACAGCAAATACACTCATCACAATAAAACCCCCTCATAAATATACGTTTGTAAAGAAGATTTCGGTTTTGTTTATTGATCTGATTATAAGAATTACACGGCATGCTCTGTATTTTCTGCTTTAAAAAAAAAAAAAAGAAGCTTGATCAAGCTTCTTCTTTAAAAGCAGAACACTCACAGACATCCTGCTGGTAGCAAACATTTCTGCGTTGTGTTACAACATACTGTACATTGTGTGTGTGTGTGTGTGTGTGTGTGTGTGTGTGTGTGTATGTGTGTGTGTGGAGGTGTCAGAGATGTGCTAAAAACGAGCACTAGATGGCGATCTAGGTTAAAGCAGTGTGCCGAGTCGACGAGAGCAGTGATCCTGTCAGCAGTCGACTGCTCTGCGGGAAGTGATCCTCCTTATTGAGGAGTATACACTCATGGAGCCCTGTGGAATATTGAAAGGGATTTGGGTGACGTTTTTTTCTTTGCAGGGAGCGAGGGTTTTCTTGCATGCTTGCAGTGGATGCATGTTGCGTTCATGCAGGGGAAAAAAAAAACCACAATTTAATGAACAAAATGCACAACCCCAGGGCGAGATCTAAACCTCAGCTGTTTGACTCTTGAGCAAGTGAGGTTGTGTTTTAGCTGAAGCTATAGATCAGGGGGACAAATTACTGAGAAAGTTTCTGTTTAATTTGTTTATTAGCCATGCATAATAAAGAGGAATAGGGATAATAGCGATGTTATTATGAATAATATCATCCTATTGTACGGCAAGGAAGTCTTAAATATCTTAACATCAGTGATAGTGGTGAAGAAGTCCAGTTCCTCTCATAAAAGCAACTCCAATGTTTGAAATTGTATATACATGTGACTTAACGAGAGCGGGAGGATAATCCGAGTCAGACGATATAATCGGACAGCTGAGGTAAAGCATTTTATTGAATCAGTTTTGACTTTCTGGTTTGGATAGCTCATCGCAATCTGTGAAACAGGATCATGACAATGAGCAGTGAAATAGTTGTATACGAGCAGGAACCTCTCATCAGCATTCGTAACAGAAGGACAAAACTTAAAGGACAACACATACCCTCAACCTCACAGTCAATACCATACCTTAATACCTTTTGTTCCTCCAGGCCACAGGTATAGAAAACTCACCTTCAGGGTGAGGAGACTTGTTTGTTGTTATATATTTGAGGTTATATCATTTTATATGATGTGAACTGCCTTCTTATTGATGAAGCTATTCCTAAAGCTCTCAGCAGCTGTAACCTTCCGTCTCACCGTCTCACCGTCTCACCGTCTCACCGTCTCACCGTCTCATCGTACAGCATCTACCATCGTCTCCTTTCCCTCCATGTCTTCTGCATCGAATGTCGATAACGGTTCAAACTGACACGGCTCTGGACCGCCCTTGGTCGTGGTCCAAAGAAGACTCTGGAGGAGAAGAGCCCTCGACTTCCGACCACATTTTTGTCGCTAAAGTGTCTAATAGCTAAATGTATTGATGGGTTGTTTTATTATTAACGGTTTGAAGGCATTTTTCTGAAATTCAGGGTAGATGCACTTTAGCCGAAACTTCAAAGATGCTCCGCAGCTGCATCGGGCTCTTTCGAGATGTCATGCCTTGGGTTGAGTCCCTGAGCTCAATTAGGAGCAACAAGAATCACCTGTGCTGGCTGCAGCAATCAGCCACAGGTGAGTGAGATCCCCAAATCAGGTCTCCCACAAAGAGAAGGCGAGCTCATTGCTCTGTTTACTCTCCAAAGGACGAGACCTGTTCCACCTTTCTTTGTCGAGTGCGTCCACATGTGAGTTATTGTTTGAGTGAATTACTTTAGTGATTATGTTTGTTTATGATGCATATAGGCAGACTTGATTTATTGTTTAATTGATGCATCTGGTAACTGAGCCTGTTTAGAATTATTGAACATTATTTTGTGAACGAGGCCAATCATTAGTTGTCATAGTTTGTCTCCGAAACAGGACGAACCACTTGACAAATTAAGGAAAAAACCTGCGCTAACAAAAACCTGAAAGTGGAATCATTCTCGCTGCCTTCGATTCCCATGAACTCACCTTTTGATGTCAATGATCTTCAGCCCTCAACATTTAGGTTACACCTAAAACAGGCTCTGTGGGTGCTCTTGGAGCATCCGAGCACCTCAGGCTAGATGCTTAAAAGTTATAAACAGGTTTCAAGTTTATGTATTGTTTTAAGAACGAAAATGAAAGGGAGACACAAAACCAAGAGGGAGAGAAAACAACAAGAGGGAGACGATGTGTAAGGCCAGAGAATCAAAGCGCTTTTATTTGCATAACCTGCATGCAAGCATTTACAATACACACGCATACATCCCATCACTGCAGAATCTCATCACTTCTATCTCCGCCTCTTTCCAATCTTCCTTCGCCTACTTTACATCAACTCTTTTTTTTTTCATCCTTTTTCTTGTATTTCCTCCTCTCTCCTCCTGCTCTCTACCTATGCAAGTTGTCATTCTCTCACCGTAATAGCGCTGCTGTGCCTTCATGTTGCCGGTTGTTTGCTTGAAACGTAATCTGCAGATGTAACAGAGGAAGAAATTGAGTCTAACAAATGGCTTGAAAGGCTCACGCGGCATATCAAGCCCGAACCAACAAAGGCAGACAAAACGCCCGTCTCTTTTTTTTTTTTTTTTTTTCCTCCCCTCAACATCTGAAGTTGATATTTTCAACAGAATAGCACACGGCTGACGTTCCCTGAATAAAGAACGCTGCGTTCGCCGCTGTTGTGTTGTGTTACGCTGTCATTCTGACTTGAATGGGAAAGTTGAGGCCCGTTTGTTTGGTTTAGCTGTTGAGGAGAAATGGGTTTGTTTGATTAACATTTTGCTCGCGCATGTCAGTTTCAGCAGCGTCATTTCAATGGGGAATGAAAGGAGCAGAGACTGAGGCTCTGTAAATTGTAGAATATAAAGACTTCTATCTATGTCTCTGGGTATTGTGAAATAAAAAGGCTTTTTGGTTACAATGGCTGCATAAAACCTATCTGAAATTAGCCTAACAGCTTCTGTGATTATGGTCATTACTCCACACCGTGACCCACACATTACTAGATATTACCTCAATCTGTGTGTGTAGTAACTCCACCATGGGCTCTGTGACTGCAGGAGTAATCTCTGATAGCATTGTTTTTACGCAGTTCAAAAATAATATCCATACACAGGCTAGCGTCTCATTTGGAAAGTGGTGTTACAGCTAGCTAGCAGCTCAACAAAGTGCGACCTGCATGTTTTTACTATGTAGGTGCCATTAAAGCCCTATTTTTTTTTTCTGAAGGGTAATGGTTAAAGTTGTTTAGTGTATGAAAACAACACATCTAAAAATGGCTTCTAGATGTTCTTTCCTTGATATTTCCAAACAAAAAAAGCATCTTCTTTGTAAAGCTAATTGCACGTCATAGCAAACACGCTATAAGGCCCAAAAGGTTAGCTGACTAGCGACCTATATCGCTGTGTCTATAGCTACCTGTAACTTTAAATATTACCTAGACTAACTAGCTCAGTTGTGGCTACTTTGCACGGTGTCACCACTTCACGATACTGAAATGATTTTGTTATTCTTCTAGCCGAAGAAAACGATCAGCACAAGAACCACCCCTATCCCCACTCCAAGGTTAAACAGTCTGACTTATTGACTCGCCACATTGCAGAAAAAGTACATTTGTGAGTAGTGGAACGCAGGTTAGCTAGACTAACTAGTCTACGCTAAGGCAGATAAGAAGCATACCTTCCCTATTTGATCATGGAAGCTGACTGGGAAACAAAAGTGTTAAATTTATGACCTCATTTGACACATTTAGACATGTTGTTCTTCTTCATTTCTCTTTACAGACGCTAATCTTTTTCTCTATGTAAAAACCAAACATTACTTATTACTAAGACTGGCTTCTCCACTTCCTCTTTTCTTGACTATTTCATACAAATAATAGCATCTTCTTACTTTCACTGCCGTACATTTGAACAGAAATTAGGATTGCTAAACTATCTGTCACTCTTTGTTTCTCAACACCAGCTTGTTAACTGCCATTATCCATACATACACCTATTCCCTTGTCTGGCACATCTCTAATGACACCTGCTCTGCTAGCTAACACCTAGCTGATTAATTAGCTGCATTCTTAATAGTGAGCAACATCACATGCTGCGTGTTGTGTTGTTGTTTCTGACTCTGTTGTTGTTAACGAGCTGATTCCAGTTTGTTCATCATCTGAACTTCTTTTTTTACCTCTGGGGGTTCGATGTTTTTACAAGTCTGTTGGGATCTCTTCTTCTCACCTTTCTGTGAGTACGTGATTAAAAGTGCAACAAAGGAACGGTAAACAAAAAACTCAACTGGTTTTTATGAGTGTAGAAAAGTTGAGATGTCGTCTTTCTTGGTATTTGAGGAGAAAAAGTGCTTCTGAAGCGGCACTTACCTGATCCCGGTGCTCGGTCTCCTGCTTCAAAAAGCTGTTGTTGTCTCTGCACGGAGGTCAACGCTTTCTTTTTTTTTTTTACTTTTACAGTCAAATATCACAAACGGCACAAAACAGTGCATGTCCTTAGACCCTCCGTTCAAGCATTAAAAGAAATCCTCAAACCCTTTTTAATGGGATCAGTGAAAAGAAACACTGGAGGAATGTTTCTCCAAACATGAAATAGAATCAAGAAAAGACCCCAAACTGTCGTCAAATGAGGGAATCGACAGTTTGTTCTAAACATGCAGTACATGAAGATTGAATCCATGAGCACTGGTAGAAATCATTGCAGCATGTTTGTTAAATTTCAAGCACAAGGACAGTTAAAACCGTGCTTGTATTGGGATGTTATTATATCTAGTACATCCAAATAGCATGTTAGCAATCCTTTAAACATGGTGGCGGGGGAAAAAGGACTTTGTCCATCTCGTAGCCATCCGTTTTTCAATCTGATGACATTTGTTGAGCTACTTTTACCTGTGAGTTTCAAAAACCTTGAGGGATGGAGGATGCAGAATGCAGACTTTGATGATGGGCTGAGTGTTCACTTAAAGGTACAGTACAGCTGGAGTTGTGAGGAGATTGCTGCATTTTTTAGAGAAACATTAGGACATGCTTGCTGATATCCACCTTTGAAGGTTGTCAGTCTTTTCCACTAGTTGCTTGTTTTTCTCAAACATGAAAACTGAAAGATTGTAATGAAACATAGGCCGAGTTCTGACCTGAATGAAGATAAAAACATTACGTTCGTCAGCCATTTACCTCCATTCTCCTACTGAATAAAGTTAAATAGATTTAGATTAAGAGGGAATTTACATCCCTTTTTAAAGAGGAAGTATGGTTAGTCCTAACACTTTACCTTGTAAACGTCTCAAATGAGCATTAATTCGCAAGATGCTTATGGTTTGACCCTCCCCTCTTGCCCCCGAGGCCCCTTGACCACCTACCCCGCCCCTGACACAGCGTGCACGGTGGGGCTCCGCCGCTGCCCTCCTCTCCTCATTAACCTCGTCTAATTAGATGGCAGGGAAGTCCATTGTTCGTCCTAATGAAGCCTCAATGGAAAGACAGGGCCTCGGCTGGCTTTTCTGACACTGCTGTGAAATTAAAATCCCCTCCCTCCTTCTTGTCCCTCGATTCCCCCCCCTCCTTACCTCCTCTTTCTGTGCCTGTCAAAAAAGACGGAACGATTGAGTGGCAGAAGTAGCCTAGATAATCCGTGTGATAGCTCTTAACATTCCCATACTGCTAATTTTTGCTCCAGCAGCAGAGCCCAGGGTAGCATTAGCTCTGCTTAGCGCCCCCAGTATGGATCCCATCCGCTAATTACTTGAGCTGCCATGGTTCGCTGAGATTTAAATACCACCTCGATACCATTATCTTCCATCCCTACAGCTAGCCCGTATCGCCCGGGCCCTTTGTAACAGCTGATGGGAGGCTGCAGGGTTATTGATACCGGCCTCCCTTGCAGATAATATCCAAGACAATGTGAAGAAGATTTGCTACAGTACCATACAGAGTTGAATGGAAGGAAGCGGACTTGGATCAGCGCCGGAAGGGGAAACAAAGAGCGCGTATACACCTATGTTGGAAAATCAAAGGCGCGACAGGAGCACAAGGTGGTGACTTGGGGGTTAAATTGGATGGGGTACTATTTGCCCTCCAGTGTTATTTTTTTTTTTTTGGGGGTCTGTTTTTTTTTGGAGGTGGGGGTTTTGCTCTCTGCTCACCCCAGAGCGACTAATTACAATTCACATGTCACACACTCCACACATAAGAGTTGGGAAACAGAATTAGAATATTCCAAGGCCTGCAGGGGGTGTCATCTCGGGAGAAAGAGGGGAAAGTGTGTCTCTTTTTACAGGAAAGGAAGAGGGTGGGGGGGGGGCTAGACTATTCATGTGGCATGTGCAGGAAAGAAGGGAGAGAGGTAGGTAAGTGGGTGGCTCGGGGGCAGAGGGGGTGCGAAAAATCTACAACGCTCCCTCCTCCTTCGCCCTCCTATCGATGCAACCGCCCCCCCCTCACTTCACACGTCGGGTGTCGCCTGCTTGGCACGCCGGCTCTGCTGCCTGTTAGGGTGGCTGAGGGGTGGAGGTGGAGGGCAATTGAGTGACATCTGCTCTGTTGAGATGAAGGGGGCAGGCAGGCTCCTTGGCACTGGCGACCGCCGCCGCCGCCGCGTTGGAGGCATTGGCACGAGGCTGGCTGGGTACAGCAGGGGTAGCGGCGCCGGCAGCAGGCGGTGGATGGCCTTCATTGAGAAGCGTTTGCTCAAACAGCATGACATCTCCTGGAATGAAAGCCCCC